GTGTGTGTGTGTGTGTATGTATATATATATATATGTGTGTGTGTATGTGTGTATGCATATGTTTATGTATATGTATAAACAAATATATGCGTATATACATGGATAATTAAACATATGTGTGTGTATATATTCATACACAATTACATATACACAGAGATATAAATATCTATGTTTATGTGCATGGTAAGTATATACGTATATGTATATGTATATGTGTATATATACTTACACTGTCAGTGTTAACTTATATGCACTGCCGCTACATACCACGCGTTGCTCTCAAGTGGACTCCTGATTAGCACGCTCGTGCACTGCCAAAGTAGTAGAGTCTTTGGACTGTCTGTGTTAATTGGAAACAACACTGAGACTTATAGTGTTTACTCTGTCTGTGTGGCATACAAACATCCTTGTATGCTTATATACACACGCTGGCATGCTTCTTGGCACATGCTAACTACACGAATACACACCGTTCCGTATGTGTATAGATCACTAGCTTCACATACATGGCTGGCAATTGAGTTGCTATCACTGCCCAGTGCGTATGCAAAGTCTTTTAATTAATAATATTTCACTTGTGATATCTTGTGAGACCTCTCATATGACCGTGTACGACCGTTCCATCAGACAACTATGTCCCAATCCTCTGCACTGTTCACTTCAGCACTTTGCTTCTAACTTCACCATTCGGCTCAACTCCTCCCATATCCAGTTGTTTGGTCACATACCAAGTTATCTTCTCGCATCACGTTATTTCTTACATGTCGGCGTGTTTTCTCATACATCGATATGCTTCCTCCCATATTGCGGATCGATCCACTGATACCAAATCAGGCTCAGCCTTCTCCGTTGACGCATACACAATCACAGGTACGTATATGTAATTTCTGAGTACGTATGTGTAAATTTGAATACATAAATTCATTTCTAGAGTATATATCACAGGTGCGTATATGCAATTTCGAGTATGTATATGTAGCTACCCGAGTGCTTGTACGTGGTTTTGAGTACGTATATACAATTCCAATCGCTTACTTTCACAGGTACGTATATGTGATTTACGAGTATTCTTAATGTGATTTCGACTACGTAATAATTCAGTATGTATCACAGGTACGTGTATGGGGTTTCGAGTACGTATATGTTATGTCAGAGACGTACATGAGATTATGAATACGTGGATGCGATTTCGAATACGCAAATGTATCTTCCAGAAACGTGTTCCGTTTTCTATCGCCAAGCAGACTATACAACACGTGCACCGCATCAGATCTGGGTAATATCCATTACACCCACGCTTCTCCACTTAAAATACGTTTTCTACCCCAACTAGTACGTTTATTCTACACACCCGTCTCATGTCACGTGTTGTGTCTTGTTGCTCACAGAGCAACTCTCTCATCCACACACCTCCGACGATGCAGATGAGCACGCTCCAGCACCCACCCTCTCTCCCAGCATACTCGTTCAGCTATCCACACGCATCACTGCCCCAGTCAGACACCCACGCACACACTGGTGCCACCACACACGCACACACACACGCACACGCACACACATGGTCTGGGGATCAGTCTACGGTAGGGCCCAGCGGTTCAGCCAATTCCATCAGTGCTCCTGTGCCTGGCTACACCAACAGGTGTGTGTGTGTGTCTGCGTGAGCATAGGCTGTGGTTGATGCGGTGTGGACACGGGGATAAGGGGTGTTATGTGCCGTTAACTGGGAATAGTGTGTATTAGCACAATAGCTGTGGTTCGGATGGGGCTGTGATGATTGGGCTTGAAATGACTGTATGTGTTTGAGATTCGGCTGTGGTAATTAGCATTGGAACAGTGCGTGTGGTAAGAGGTGGCTGTGGTAGTAATTGGAGTGCAAGATGTGTTGTATGAGAGGTTGTTTATAACTCGATTTAAGGTACATCTCCCCGCCCACACACGACCAGCGTATCAACTGTTGTCTCGTGCGGACTGGCACCCACACTCCCACAGAAACACGCACATGCAAACTGTGAGAATAATTGACAATATATCATAAATGATCATTATTTTTTATTATCATTATTGTGTTGTGTGTGGGTGTGTGCGTGTGTGTGTGTGTGTGCGTGTGTGTGTGTGTGTGTGTGTGTGTGTATACATATATGTATATTTATATA